TCGTGTCGAGCTTATAAGATCCTTTACCAACGACTCTAAGGTCTTGCTATCCGTGACCATGATATCTTCGAGAGCCTTGACCTGGTCGGGGATGATTTTGATGCCCCAATTTGACACCACAAAGGATGAGAAACTCACCCGTGCCAACTTCGATGGGACGTTTCTCTGGGTTGAGCTTCGTGTCGCATTTCTCCGAAACGTTGATCGTTTCCTGCAAATAAACTAAAAGGGGTCCTCTGCACACAAGGACCTAACCAGTTACATCACCAATATAGGCCTTCGTTATTTTACCTATTTGTTCTTCGTATATCCTGTTGATTGGATGTCGATACCGAGCTTCTCGAACTGGGGTCTCCCTATTTGTTTTACTGGTTTAAACCTGGAATTGTTGCTCAGCCTACGTGTGGTGATTTCCGGTGGAATACCTGTCATATATTAAATGGGACGAAGCGATGAAATGCATATTATCAATAAGAAAATAAAAGAGTTTTTTCCTGAGCTCGAGGGCTAACCCTGTTCCCAGGTGTACCTTTCTCTTGAGCAATTGGCTCAATATCGGGCTTCTTGCGAACGACGAAGGTTCGAGGAGCTAGGGAGTTCCCTTCTTCGCCTTCGGTTACCTGTTATCCTGCTTCCGTCTAGACTTAGAGATGTGAATGTTACTTAGCCACCTGCTTACCTTGAGAGTTCGATGTCTCCGAGGTCAAGGGTTCCGGTATCAATACCACTTCCTCGATTGCAAACATCTCTTTTGCAGCGTGCTGTTCTCTATGGACTATTTTCACTCCTTCCTTGGTTGGAACTTCATCATCTGATGGAGAGTCAAAGGCATTTCCCTTATGTTGTGTATCCATGGCCTCCCGATGAGTGCGTTATACCTCATGTCACCTTCGATGACATGGAACCTGGTGTCTTGTATCATTCCGGCTACGTTTATTTGCAGGATAATCTCTCCCATAGTGGTTTCACTTGCCATGTTGAAGCCATTCAGTACCCGAGACACAGGAACAATCTGATTTTGCAGCCGAGTTGTTTCACGACCCTCGATCTGATTATGTTCATAGAGCTACCTGGATCCACCAAAAAACGCTTAACCTGAACTTTATTTAAGAAGATAGAGATTACCGGGTCGTCGTTGTGAGGTTGGGATACGTCCTCTACTTCCTCGTCACAGAATGATAGAGCGTCCTTGGGTACATAGTTCTGAGTCCATTTTTCCTTTGTGATGGATACTTTGGTACGTTTGAATATAGGTCCCTGAGGGACATCGACTCCATCGATGATCATGTGAATGACATGTTGAGATTCTTCGGGTTCATTCTTCCTGTTTGTGTCTCTTTCTCGGAAATGATTCTTGGCCCGGTCGCTGAGAAATTCACGAAGATGCCCCTCGTTGAACAATCGAGCTACCTCCTCTCTGAGCTGCCTGCAATCCTCGGTCCTATGTCTGTGAGTTCCATGATACTTGCACATTAAGTTGGGGTTCCTCTGAGAATGAACGGTCTGTATAGGCTTGGCCATCTAGCATCTCTAATTTTGCCAATGGCTGAGACGATACCCGATGCGTTGACACTGAAGTTGTATTCCGATAATATGGGCGTCTCCACTGGTCCCGAGCGCCTACCAAACCCGGTTTTGCTCACGAGTCCCCGAGAACTTTGGCCTCGATCTGCTCTTCGATCATCCTGAGGCATTTTACGTCTTGCAATGTTCCTTTGTTCTTCAACGTATGGTTGATACCGTTCTTTATTGAACATTGATCCTCTGTGTCCCTCGGGGGCTTGGTTGCGATTCTTGTAGGATGAACTAAGCCCGAGGGGTTTCCCAACTGGTCGTCCTCGACCCTAATTTTTGACGGATAATGATTGTGCATATCCGACCATGTCACAGCTGGATATTCAATCAAGTTCTGCTTTAACTGTCGAGATGCAATTGAGCTTCTTTCATTCAAACCTTGCATAAAGGCCTGAACTGCCCAGTCATCGTAGACCGGTGGTAATTCCATCCTTTCCATCTGAAACCGGGACACGAACTCCCTCAGCATCTCGTCATCCCTTTGTTTTGTCTTGAAGACGTCCGATTTTCTTGTGGCCACCTTTATGGCCCAGGCGTGTGCTTTCACGAAGGCGTCCGCCAACATAGCAAATGAATCAATAGAGTTAGGAGCTAAGTTGTGATACCAGATCATAGCTCCTTTTGATAGTGTTTTCCCAAACTTTTTCAATAATACTGACTCGATTTCATCGTCATTCAAGTCATTTCCATTGATTCCACAAGTGTATGAAGTAATGTGTTCATTAGGATCAGTTATTCCGTTGTATTTCGGTATATCGGGCATGTGAAACTTCTTAGGAATGGGCATCAGAGCTGCACTTGGGGAAAAAGGTTTTTGTATAAATTTTTTGGCATCTAGACCCTTCAAAACTGGAGGTGCTCCCGGTATCTGGTCTACCCGGGAGTTGTAAATTTCCACCTTTTTATCGTTTTCCTCTATCTCCTTTTCTCCTGACTCAATCCTTTTACTCAGTTCCTCGAGCATTTTCATGATTGTACGGTCAGTCCCCGAGCCACTCTCATCGGGCCCTTCTAGCGCTGGTTCGTGTCGGGCATTCACTGGTTCGGCAGTGTTAGGAGTTCTGTTCTAACTCTAAAGTTGAGCGATGGCGACTTGCTGAGCTTGCAGCATCTCGAATATCACCTGGAGGCTGACTCCTCCTTCTTCCAATCCTCGTGTTTCCTGGCCTCCGGGTCGGGCTTCCCTGTGTGCATTCCTTACAGGGTCTGTGCATGCGTCCGTGTTTAGAGCGTTGAGCGAACTGATATCAACTTCCACGTTCAGCACTCCCTCGGGGTTTATGGGTGGTACACCGAGCCCTATACCGCTGTTTTCTCCAAGTCCCTCACTATCATGAGCAGGTGCATTTTTTGTGCTAAACATATTTTGGCCTGAAATCAAAAAATCTTTGACAAGAAAAAGCGTGAAGAATAGTGTGTGTTATCAGAAAACTAGCACTAAAATAATCACTATTATCTTTAGCCCCACGGTGGGCCAAACTGTTTACCTTGAAAAATATGAGTAAAAATTAAAGATAATTTGTGATTTTAAAGATATGTGATATATTCTAATACTAGTAATTTTACAAGTAATATTAAGCTTAAGTAAGAAGAAATGATGAACCAAATCAGTGTTGTTGGAGCAATAGGGGCCTCGAGCTTGGTTATCCCAGGGACCTCGAGGTCAGCTAAGAACAATAAAGTATGAATAATAAAGTAAAGATAATAAAGCTGAAGAACAATTATTGAGCACGTTAAACAAGGAGAGCAGAATAGAATGTTCTATTGCAGTGAATAATGTGAGATTCCTCCCCCCCCTCCCCCCCCCCCCCCACAAAATGATTGGGGTCCCCTTTATATAGAAGGAGAAAACCCCAATATGGTACATTCCTAATTGTGGTAAAAAATTCTATTGGTACAGGTGTATAGTACGAACCTGTACCATTTCGTACAAATCTTATCATTTAATTTATGCCTTGGTCCACGTGTCCTTGAGAAATTCCCGCTCTTTCTTGATTGACTTCGAGATTGTGCTGCCCTCGATGTAGGTCGTGCTAGGCCTTCTATCAACTTCCTCGAGGTATGTGTCCCTCAGCCGGGTCCGACCTCCATTTCAAATTGCCCGGACTCGAATTCATAGCCCAATTTAAAACTTCGAAATCGGGTTTCTTGATTTTGACCGTATACACTCAATTTACCATATCCAAATGAAAGCATCAACATTAAGGAAAATTCATCTTATGTCCAGGATCAATATGTGGTGTGAGAAGATTGACCAAGCAATATATGAAAACAAATATTCTTGAAGTCATTGAATAGAAGACCAATCAAGCAACGGACAAATAAATTTAAGGAAAGGAGCTTTCAAGAATTTACCAAGATAAATTATGGAAACAAATAATGGAGCAACGGTCAAATTTCCTTGGGTCATGAAATAGCTAGAACAAGTTGAAAAGGCTATAAAGCGGAGGTGAAGGAAGAAATGTATGCAGCTTTCTATACAATTTTCTACCCAACTATAAATTCTTTATTCTACTCTTAACAAGCATTATAATTCACTTTAAGTATATTTACGATGGCCACAAAAGAGAGAAGAATGAAAATATTGGAGAGGCGGCGTGTCCTGAGAGGTTGTGTCATTGTTCGTTATTGGTGAGCGAGTGAAAACCAACCTTTTGTGTTGTTGGTGAGCGTGTTAAAACCAACCCTTGTTTGTTGTTGGTGAGAGCGAGTGAAAACAAACCTTGTAAACGTTGATAGTGAACATTGAAAATCACACAAGTTGTACTCAACCAATTTACGAAGAGCTAAAAGATAACCTCCTTGCAACCCAAGGGATCGGATTAGGATACCACATTGATTACGAACCAGTATAAAATTCCTAGTGTCATTCACTTTATTGCTCCCATATTTTATTATATACCATTACTGTTTGTTGTGATTAGTATTTGTTTAAATCGTAGTACTAACAGTCTTGTTCGAACTGTCTCCGTTTAAGTCTACTTGGTCTGAAGAGTAGTCGAGTAGAAATATAAAAAGGCTACAATTCACCCCCTCTTGTACTTTCACATTTCACAAGGAACTACAGTATTTTATACTTTTACCATATGATAAGATTGTAGAACATGCTATTCAATTAAAAATTGTATAATATGGAATATTTTAGGAAACCATAAATAATTATGTAAATCACCCTGGATGTCGTCTAAAAGAAATTAATGGATTTTAGAAGATAATGATTTTGGACCTTTTTTCACCTTGTAACCACTTATAAATTATATAAGTTTGAAAAATAAGTATGGGTCTCATTTAATTAATGATTATAAGAATAATAATCTCTTTTTTTGGTTTCTGAAGCACGAAATATGGCCAAAGATGAAATTAGTGCCTGTTGGTTCAGCTTTGGAAAAGCAATTTAGTTTTCAAACAAAAGAAACAAAAAAACAAAGAACTTAAACCAATTCTTTGAAGGTCACACAGTTAGCATTAAATATCTGTTACTGGCTCAATTCACAAAATTCTCTCATCACAGAAGAGATCAGCTTGAAGACTAAATAGAGGGTTTTGTATAAGGGCGGGCTATATGACTAACAAGATGAACTCAAAATTCTTATATTACAACTGGTAATCCTCTAAAAGAATTTAGCTGAATTCATCATGTAGGTAATGTCCTAAGCAATCTCAGAGCTCGCATCCAATGTGACCTTTGCGCTAGTACAAGTCGTCTCAAAATTGGCACAGCTCCAGCAGCTATAATCGCAGCATGATTCTCACTGTCCATGCTCAAATTATACAGTATTGCTAGAGATGCTTCAACAGCACGTTCACTCTCATTTTTGAGCAGCTTCACCAATGGAAATATCCCTCCCTCTGCAGCCACGGCTCTGGTGGAATTCACCACCTCTTCAGCGATTATTCTGTTGAGTTCTACAACAGCAGCCTCCTGTACTTCCGGTGAATATGAAGTCTTGATCTGTTCTACCAGCCTTGGGATCGTCTCATAAAGAGTTACCTCTAAGTTGATCGGATTATCATAGTCAAAATATGGACCAGAGAGATAGCGGAGCTTCAGAAGACAGGCAGCAACCCAGTCTTTGTGGTAAAGAGGGATGTCTGATTTGAGAACCTTTCGCAGTAACTTTGTGAAATGAGATGCATTTACTTTACAACAGAACTGCTCAAAGTCCAGCAGTCTTGTAAGTAGCCGGGATGCTGCAGATATCGCATGGCCAGCCTCTTCAACCTCAAGCGCATGAAGTTCTGGGTTCTGCAGATCTATTTCAGATTCTGCATCTGCGATATCAAGATGAATCCAGCAAGTTATTTATTTCCAATAGAACTTAAGACAAATATTCTCAAGTCTTGATAGAGGCTAGTATTTAGCATAGAATCCCCACACCACCAAAGTTAGAAAATTGACTAAATATCATCAGATCATCCCCCGTGCTTGTATGTTTTCTTCGTTTAGCCAAGTAACATAGATTAGAATCTTTTTCCACCAGAACGAGCTATTAAATGACTCACAAGTCAAACTGTGAAGAATCATCTTTTAGAAACTACTTGAAACAGCCTCCGGTATGCTGGCTACACTACATAAATCAAAGGACAACATCAAAAGACACAAGCAAGTCTCTGCAGCCCATGAATGTGAAAACCCTGTGCCAAAAATTTCGTCTTAGATAAACGCAGATCACTGACTACCAAATTTATCTTCTAGTTTCCGCTTAAAGAATGATTTACTCAGTACCGACCTGAGGAAAACAGTGAACTGGTCACATATGTAAGAACTCTCAAGTCATCTGTAAGTCTACAGGTTTACGCGGTTACTAAAATAAACTTGTGGTGGTTAAGAAATGAGCATTTCCACAGAACTGAAGAGAAATATATACTACATAACAGTAAAGCAATGAATACAAAAGGCACACCACTATTGTCAAGAACTTGGTACAGGTTGAGCACTTCTGGGAGTTTGGACATTTCTTCACCAAAGAAGCTCAGACACATGAATAATATTGGTGAATTTGCTAAGCATACTCAGGGTATTTGAAGCATAGACAACTAGGACGAATGAAAAAACTGAAAGGTGGAAACTAGAATTGTACCCAAAAAGTGAGAGAGCGATAGAGAGAGGCAATTGGCAAGTGAATGATAATAATTTGGTGTAAATGGAAGGTAAAATGTTGTGGATCACAACTGAATCAAAAAATGTAACCAGTACATGCCTGAGGTGAACTAGGAAAACTATTAATTTTAAGTTCTTGGGGCATAATTTGTGGCCTAAATGCCAGAAAAGAACACCCTAATCTCCTACTTTAGTAGTGGAAGGCACTACTTTTGAAATTTACAAGCACATTGACATTCCTTGAAATATTCTCCAGAAGATTTCCTAAGACTTCCATATTACCATGTTATGTTGAACAGCAGCAGTGACACACTACTACGTACTTCAAAGAGGAATCAAGAAACCTACTAAAAAGGGAAAAGTGAAGCCACACTTTCTGACAGACTGGGCCTAAATGAGGATTGAGGGCAAGTAGTCTCTCATACCATTTAAAGTTTTCTGCTGGAAAACACCATCCAGCCCACTTTCTAGGTCAACCGACAGGATCTTTTCTGTGCATGGCTCAATAACTGCGGCAAACTCAAGGATTGAAGCAGATTTCCTCTGCAAATCTGGGGATGATGTCCTCATGATATCAACTAGGCGAGATAGAACAGCAGAATCTAAGAGATCCACCACATTGGCAGTTACCAAGCTGCAAAAATGAAACTCAGAGTTTGATTCACCATGAAATAGTGAATTGATTCATCTTATATCTGCTGTAACACCAACTAGTATGAAGCACTTAATACAGTCCTACATTCGAATATCTCAAAACTGATGAAGATGATCAACTGCTCGTCTGCAGCACAAATAAATGTCTTTTTGATGAACTAAAGATAATTGCAACATGAACGATGTTGTTATTATGCAACTTTAATTACATAATGCATTTACCATGTCAACAAAATCATTTGGAAGAATACTTCCACCAAAATTGAGAAGGAACCAGAACTTCCCCAGATATACCCTTTACCCTTTGTCTAGTCAAAATAAAAGGATTGAAGGAATGAGTCTTTGGACCTAAGAGCATAAAGTTTACACAATCGTTTTAATCGTAATCTCCGATATCCCAATAATGCATGTCGACATGATGACCATCACCATTAAACATTGCGAGTTACAAATCAACATCAACTCAAACCACAATAATGCAAGTTCCAACTAGTGCCCCAACCAACTTAACAGTTTCGTCCTCGCCCACCCTAAAACTCAAGCCCAAGTTTGCAATCTTAGAGCATGTAAGCCTTGGAAACGATTTGATAATCATACAACTATCAAATGTGGGATGGTTACCTTGTTACTTAACACTGTGCTAGCATTAAGAAAATCTAAAACTCATTATCTGGATCATCAAATGCATTGAGCACTGCTGGAGATGTTACAATTGGGTTTCGCAGACAGACAAAATCAAGAACACTCCTGAAACATCTTTGAGCAATGGACTACCATTTAAAGCTTCACATGACCACACATATAGAACCTAGGGAGAATCTAAAAAAGATATAGACCGGGTCACATTTGCAATCAAAAGGAATCCTGACTTAAACATTAGCAGCTCACAGCATCAATTTTCTCATTAGAGAGAGCCCACTTTCATCTGCAGTTGTCTAGACCGAGTCCACATAAACTTAGGGCATATCTTATTGTTAAGTCTCGTATATGTGAAAACTAGATTCTTTTGTGCACACTTCAGTCAGGTGCCAAATTACTTGACTAAGTAGCACCAAAGTCGATTATAGGCAAGAAAAAAGACTTAACAGCTCAGCTTCTATCCTTTCAACCCTCCTCGGATCCAGGTCAGTTGAAAGAACCTCTTTTTTCCAATTACTGGAGTTATGTTAACTAATGTGGTGCTTATGCTTTTCAGAGCCGAGGGTCTATTGGAAACAACCTCTCTATCTTAGCAACGTAAGGATAAGGTCTGCGTACACACTATCCTCCCCAGACCCCACTGTGTGAGGTTATACTGGATATGTTGTTGTTGGTGGTGAGTTATGTTAACTAATCTCACTTATCAAATCTTACTTCATGAAGACCAATTTCTGTGTAAACAATCTAAATGAGCTCCAAGATGAACTGCTGTCACATGTTTAAAAAAATGTCATATAACCTAAATATTCTTGGTACTCTGACATTTTTTTATCAGGATCTGTTATTCAAAATTAGTGGGGATGATCCTTCACATGACTTATCCGTGTTTTAAAAGTGAAAGCGAGAAGTGAAGAGCACACTTCTTTAAAGTGAAGCGCACAAAAAATTATTATTATTAGAATAACTAATATCAACATTCAATATACAGTAATTTCAATATTAATCTAACTCCTCAAATTTGAGATTTACCGCTTCTCATTGAAATCACTTTGCGCGTCATTGGTTGAAGCACAAACCTCTCTGAATATGTGTCTAGATTTATACACGTCAAGATTCAGTACACTTGTAAGGAAAATCTTATAGAAAATTCTAAAGGCTACTGTAGCATATTCTCTATTTAATTGTAGAGGAATATTTACTTACCTTATAAGGATAAAGAACGATTAACTACCATCATAGCTAAGACTCCTATATAAAGAGCACCTCTTAATACATTGTTAATCAGGTCAATGAGAAGTATTTTTGCTCTATTTTGACATGGTAACGGAGCAACTATGATCTTGGTAAAAACACAAATAGCTTCTGCTCCCGGCGGTGGTACCGACCAACGTGTGCTACCTGCCGAGCCAATGTTTTTTCATTTTGGTGCCCAACCCTGCTCCTCTTTCTAGCAACTGGTGACCCTACTCTGTAGATGATTGATCAGGCGTTTCTTCTCTCTCTAGGATCATCCAAGCACCGTTCATTTCTCCGGCGACTGGAACTGCAACTTTTTACACGACTGGCAAACTCTTTTGATCTTTGAACATCTAGCTCTACCAATTCATGTCAAACTGATACACCATATCTCTTTGCAGTCATTGAGAATCTTTTTTGTGTGTAGAACAAGAAGTACTATTTGTGCAGTTACCAGCGACTTTCTGGTACTGCTTTTCTTTTTAGTGATTGTGCACTATCATAATGGATTTTTGCGTCAACATTTTATGTACTCAAGTTAGTTTCCCCCACTCTGATTTTGAGGGAACCAGTTGGAATATCAAGTCAATACATGTCCAGATTCATCATACTTGAATAAGGAAAATCTTATAAATGTTCTAAAGGATACCTTAGGATATTCTCTATTTAATTATATAATATTTACTTACCTCATTATCATAAAGATTGATTACCAAACATATTATACACAGCCTAAAACTCTTATATAAGGATCACCTCTTGTACATTGTCTAGATATGTATAAATCTAGACACGTATTTACTTGATATTCTAACAAGTTACAAATTGGTGACTTTAGATGCAGATTCCACCAGGAAAAGACTCAATTCTCAAGTATTGGACTAGTAGAGAAAGTGATCCATATCCCTTAAGGTGAAAACAGAGTGTGTAAGGATATTAGACACCCTGTTACCCTCTTCCAAACCCACCCCTCACCAAACCTAACTGGCTGTCTTGTGAGTTTCTTAATGTTTAGTCTCCCTTCCTGCCCAGCTCAATCAGCCTCACCATTCCCTCGCTCCCACTCTTCGGTATCAGATATCTAAAATCAAGAGCCTGTTAATGTAGCAAGTGATTGTTGTTATAATTAAGACTCAGATCTCCCAAATAAATAATTGTAGGCTCATTAAAAAGCTCTGCAAGACTGATATCGTGTGAAGCAGGTATTCATGAACTAAACAATTCAAGATCGGCATGGAACACATAGATACAAAAGGGAGGGGAGGAGTACAAAACATGGAAACAAACATGAAACCTGGTTGTTGATGCAACTTTCTCATCTTCATTTCCAGTTAACCCTGCATTTCTTGCTGCACCCCATTCCTTTGTCGACCCATTAACTGGTCCATAATAAAACTGAAGATAACCCAGAAAGAAAAGAGTCACTCATAGAGGTTGTAGAACGAATTTGAGCTCCCTCAAAGAACTAAAGAGTGATAGCTCCAGACCTTTGATTTCATTTCTTTGCTAGGATCTAGGATCCGAGTAAGAATATCCAATATCTGCATAGGAAACAATATCGTTTTACTTCTGTGGAACAAGAATATGACTAATCAACATTCTAGTAGAATACAAAATAAATTGCATTACCATATTTGTCAAGCTCTTAGAGATCTCAGAGTTACTGAGCAAGTAAATCAAAGAATGCAAAACATTTTCTGCTTCCATTCTTTGGCATACGTCATTACTTCATCCAGAAAGACATGAAACAATATAATTAGCCATAGGTGCACGTTGAACAGGATAGATGAACTTATTCTTAAACCAAAGAGAGTAAAAAACAGGAACACAAAGTGCATAATGAATACTGTTCCAAACTCTTTCAAGTTATAGTGTGAACTTTAAACCATCTAATACAATATGGAAGAGTTACACTTAACTGCAAGAATGAGAGAATGAAAGTTGTGACAAGCTGAAAAGTACTACGACAAAGTTACTAAAAGCCTGTGTGTCAGCAGCATCATAATTCTAAATAATCTTTCTAACAAATGTTGGTCTGGCTTCGAAGAAACACTTTTTAAAGAGTTCTGCTTTACTATCAAAGCAACAGAGAAAAAAAATCACATTATGGCAGAACAATTTTGCTCTCTCCAAAATGCATGGACCCGATCACTAGGCCCTTAACATTAAGGTCCAAAGAAGGAAAGTGAACTTTTTCTGCTAGGTGCTAAGCAGAAGATTTTTAGACATTAAAGGGAGTCGTACAGATTGAAATATTTAGCTGCAACAAGTCACTTATGCCTCACCACCATGGAAACAAAAGAATTACCAGACAAATTTAGCAAATGACAGCAAATCTAATAGAAGCACAAGAATTGTTAATTGAACAAGTTGCTTTACAGCGAGATCCTTTTAAGAGCTTAGTCCAATGCCAGAGCCATGAATCATATTTGCTTCAAAGTAAGCACATAATGGAGGAAGAATTCACCTTTTCTAAAGTGCAATTATCAGATGATTACGCCCCTAACATCAATATTACATAAAGGAGAGAACATTCACTGCTCACTGCTGAAAGTAAATCAATGAACCTTTACCACAGAGCCATAATCACATAGGACATAATTAGATAAGTCATTAATGTGTCTTAACTACCTGGAAGAGTATAACATGTTAAAGTAAATATGATAACTACCTGATAGATAGCCTCTCCAGAGCCCGAATAACAGCTAATTTAACAGTGTCACTAGGATGGTTAATTAGCCGAACAAGAGGATTTATAGCACCTGCTTCTTTAAACGAAACCCGCATTTGCTCATTAACAGATACATCTGCAATGGCCTCTGCAGCTCTAGCAATAGCTGACTCATCTTCAAGTCCAAGAATTAAAACTAAGCGAGCCACGCCATCCATCCACGGCAAAAGAGTAAACCTTGTATTTGATGAAAGTTCACCACTGGATATATTATCTTCTTCAATTTCTATTGCCCCAATACGTGCAAGAAATTGCTGTTGAGTGCGTCCTACAATTGCCTTTATCTTTGCTTCCTCAATGTTTGCATTCTCATCCTCAATATTTAATCCAAGAAGTAATTCAGAGGCGCCGTATCTTGAAGTTTTTGGGTTCTGGTCAATTTTCGTACCATCGGGCAAAGAAGGCCATGAATACAGAGCTGGCCTGAAGGACTTGTAGGCAACTGCACCAACTAAAGGCACCAGAAGAAGACCTTCCTCCATGATAAGAATCTTGCTGTACTCATCTTTAGCAAGTTCCAGCAACGCATTCCTCGCTTCTTTTCTAATGACCTTAGATCCCTCCACCTCAGTTTTCAAGAGCATTGCCTGCACAGCTCCAAGGTAATGAAATTCTCTGAGCTTCAGTTTTGCGGCATCAAAGACATTAACCACCGAAAATGAATTAAAATATCCAGCCCTAAAAATGCCACAAACAATAATAAAAATGATAAAAACTAACTTCTTTTCTGGAGGACATTGCAGTAAAGTTGCAACAGATTCAACAAATTAACAATGTTTTTATAGATCAAATCACCTACATGTTATAATCAGAAGATGAGACTAAGAAGCGTTAGACATTCTTGGTTAATCCAACTACGTATAACAATCTCTTCATGAATGCCTTACTAATGAATTACATTGTCAACTTGACTGATCTTTTACATGGTTTGTAGAATTACATGTATATCATGAACCATGACCTCTATTTCTTTCAATTTCTACTATGCATCAATTTGGTTTCCCTCCCTATCCTTGTTCAAGAACCAACTAATTATATTTTAGATCTTTTCTGTATCTATTTTTTATAACCGTGGCGTTCGGGCCAGCTTTCGCGCACCTCAACTAATTCAACGGGATACCATACTACCTCCCACCATCTTTTCTGTATCTATTAAGTTCTATTAGGTTCTTTCTTCCCTATCCTTGTTCAAGAACCAGCAAATTATATTCTAGATCTCTTTTTCTTAATGGTAGATGGAAAATCCTGGAGTTCCAGAAGGTAATAAGAAAAATTGACGTGTCCAAGACGAATACAGAGGGGAATGTCACCGGATAGGTTCTCTTTTTTGTGAAATTGAGTTGAAGTAAATATAAAATATCTTCTGAACACGACAACTCTTGTAGGTCTTTGATTCTAGCTTTTTGCAGAATGTCCCAATAGGTCCTCGGATAGTGACAGGTGGACAGCTTTTTTAGGGGGCATGGCTTCCAAAAAGGAAAAACATGACCTAGATCAACTACCACTTTAGTAGGAATACATTACTAACTGTGTCAAGACCACCTTCCTATGAGACAGTTTGAGGTAAAAAGTTGTTAGGGGCACAGGCATAAAAAGGGAAATAAGGCATACAAAGGTTTTCCTCACGTAGGATGGGATTGGCATGCGAGCAACAAGGAAAAAGTGGGCTTACAAGTTTGAGAACACTGTTTGAGCAATTACTGAATCAGCCTTTACGATGAAGAAGAAAGATAATTTTGGGGTCAACATATTGCTGTGCAATTAGAGCTCACAGTAACTACTCACTTGAAGGTATAACTGGTGATGCCCAGATCAGAATAGCATTCTATCATCATCCACCGACCACCACCATCTTTTAAAGCAAGTTCTAACACGGTTAATCATAAAAAAGGTTCCCACATGAACCTGAAAGAATTGGGCCAGAAACCCTATTTAATTGGTTCTTAGAACTCCCATATCAGTAATGCGTCTCACCAATATGTCCCCAGGTAGCAATTCAAAGCTTTCATCAGTGACTGAGTCCTTCTTTGCTTTATGGAACCTTTCATCTGCTTTTCCTTTTTCTACCAGTCTCCTAGTCTGCTTTATTTTAGTTTGAAACTTCCAAATTCGCTGTACAATTCTTCTGAAATATCGACTCATAATGATGGATGAAGGTGGTAATTATGTAAGTTGAAGGTGGTAAAAGGAGACGGCATAAACTTAAAATTACAGGAAAGCTATGTCAAAGGACTTACAATCGCTCCTAATAAATGTAGACTTAGTTAAGAACATAACACAGCAGAAGCAAGGATTTACCAGTCCTGTTTTTGGTTAGACACTCAAATATCTGTATAGTGATAAATATGAGATATAGAGAACCTTTATAGCCTGTTTCGCCAAATGTGCCTTTTTTGGCCAAAAGTACCTTTTTCCAAAGTTAAGGTGTTTGGCCAAGCTCTTAGAAAGAGAAAAAGTGTTTTTGAGTAGAAGCAAAAGCAGTTTTTGAGAAGCAAAAGAAAGTAGCTTCTTCCCAAAAGCACTTATAAAAGGACTTTTGAGAAGGATACACATAGAAGCACTTTTAAAAGCTTGGTCAAACCTAATTGATGCTCAAAAGAGCATTTCGAATTAATTAGCCAAACACAAACTGCTTCTCACCAAAAACACTTTTGAGAAAAACACTTTTCAAAATAAGCTAACTTTAGAAACTTGGACAAACAGGCTATATTAGTTTTAATGAACTAATTTGAATTAAAAACAAAACCTTTTTGTTCCTGTTTTTCCTACCAGAACAAAACGGACCTGAATAGAGCTGAATGGATTCAAAGGATTCGTACAGCTGATCCCGGCTAGTATAGGATTGAGGTGTAGTTGATTAACTGATGTAAAATTTTCACAATTCTTAAACACTCATAAATATATTCAAGACCAATTGATACCTACCCAAAGAAAGTGTAAGAACACGAATCAACCGGTCTTAGTGTCTTACCAGTTTTGGGATGACACCTGCTTCAACCATATTCTTGTGATTAGAAACAGTCAATGCTAAATTAGCCAAAACCCTTCCAGCTGCCTCCTTCACTTTCACTTCTTCATCCTCCAGGAACTTTATCAGTAAAGGCAGGAGATCAGGATTGGCAATTTTGTTTCTGAGTTTCTCATCCACGGATAAATTCCATAATGTACATAAGCTTTGCTCCTTCACCTGCAGAAATAAATTCAAGCTTGTGCCTCAAATGCTTGTGACAAAAAGACATGAGGACAGAAAAAATGAGGTAGATTTTGCACATTTGGGGAGAGGGAAGAACGTCTCAAGAGGCCGTTTATCTCTTCTATTGCACCACTATCTGCCACAAGCTCTCTGTACATATTCACTGAGGATATCATCCTCAAAAGACCAGCAGCTGCTTCACAAGCAGCATCAGACTCAGACCTTAGAAGGTTCACAGTCAGATTAACAGAACCCCGGAACTGCATTAACATATCAACACACTTCTTCCCTCCAAGTGAATACTTCCAGAGAGCAACGACTGCCTGTTCTCTATCTAGAGGGTCATGGTCCAAACCAAGCATCCGAACAAACAAGGCAATGTAACCATCAGCTGTGTTAGATGAGCTATCCTTTAACTTATCAACATCCTGCAAATGAAACAGGAAGAATCATCATCATGTACACCTAAGCAAAAAAACTTGATGCAGATAAGCTCTGAAAGAGTTAGTGAAAGAAAGATCACCACTAAAAATGGGAGTACTCTCAACGATTAAGTAGGCATTAAGCAAACAAGTTTATTTTATTTATCTCTAGGATTAAGAACTGGAGGTTAAAGTTGTGTTTTGTAAACCGATTTCCCTATAAGAGAGAAATATGATCTACATAACATTCACAAATGAGTTTGAAAACTCATAGCATGACAGAGTAGAGAATAAAAGCAATAAGAAACTAAAATACAGTAGGAGAAATAGGGGGTAAAGAAACTTCACCTGGTAAGGGTTAACATAAACTTCACCCCCTCCATCACTGCAGGCCGCCGTGAGACCTGAATACAACCTATGGAAGTTGGAAAACAATGAATTATTAGCTTTTCTTGTTCTAATTGTGACACTTATAACTCCTGCAGGGGTTTGCAAGACTCGATTATTGGGTGGCTTGAGCAAGAGCTGTGCTGGGATTGGTAAGGCCATGTTTGGCATATGTCAACAGAATTAGAGTTTTTAGTTAGAGTTCACTATACTCTTCTCTAATGATAATGGAAATAAACCAGAGTGACGATATTGTAAAGAGATTTTTCTCCCTCCACCAAACTCCCTGAAGTTCCTTTACTGGTCTTAGCCTAAATGGGCCATTAAGGGGAGGGTGGACTCGGGTTATTTATAGGAATGGACAGGAAATTACTAAAATTTTCACGGATAAATTCAAAAATTGTCAAATTTATGGGTGGTCGTTCAAAAATAGCTCAGTTTCAAAAGTAAGCTTAATTTCGCCATTTTTAATATAAAGATACATTTGAACGAAAACATTGTTAAAACCCGGAAAATCTGCCAATATATTATGCTGGAGTTCCAGCATAAGTATACTTGAACTCCAGCATATTATACTGGAGTTCCAGGATAAGTATGCTGGAACTCCAGCATAATATGATGGAGTTCAAGCATAAGTACACTAGAACTCCATCATAATATACTGGAGTTCCAGCAAAGTATATCGGCCCAGTATAATATGCTGGAAGTTCATACACAAGTGCTCGAATCTCCAGTATATCATGCTGGAACTTTCCGAGTGTTGTAGTTCCAGCATAATATGCTAGAAGTTCATACATAGGTGCACCGAGCTCTAGTATATTATGCCGGACCAGTCTCTGTTGCAGCAAAATAGTGGCTACTTTTTATTGACTTGGTAAACGCTGGCTATTTTTGAATGACCAGTCCGAAAACTGGCTAGGCCGTGCTATTTTTACAAATTCTCATGTGACAGCCCAATTTTGCACCACATATTGATTTTTAGGAAATGTGACCTCCTATAGTAAAGGTAGATACCTTATTTATTATAATAAATACCCTTTTAAAAAATTATCTCCTATAGCTACCTTTTAATTTTTATACCAAATATCAATTTATGGTCACTTTATACCTTTAAGCCATTTAATACACTGTGTATTGTTTTACTCTCTCCCTCTCTCTTCCCTCTCTCCTCCTTTCTCTTTCCTCTTTCTTCTCTTTTTTTCCCTTTTTTTTCCTCCCATGTTTTTAGAAACCCTAGCAGGGGCTGTGTTCCGCCAACAACAAATCCGGTCGGCGACCACTTTCCCCTTCCTTGTTGTGTCACCCCAACCCCCTCCTCCGGCCGGCGATTTCGTTCAAACAATTATGTTACGCATTCTAAATGTTTCTTAGATTTTGCATTGATTGTTCATGTTTGCCTTGTGAGATCTGAAAAAATATTGTCTCTAGTTTCCGTTTGATCCTTTAAATTGGTGCTTCTTCAACAACTGTCTTCATTTATCAGGCTGCGACGCCCCACATGGCGGTGGACTGGATATCACTAGGTTGGGGACGGATTTGGGGCTGAGGAACTTGAAGAGTGTGTTACTTTATTTCCATTGTATTTCAACGTATCTCGCTGTATTCCATGTATTTCATTGTATTCACTGTCTTTTTTATTCATTGTATTTCAATGTATCTCACTGAATTCCATGTATTTCATTGTATTCACTGTCTCGCTGAATTCCATGAATGTTTCATATGGTTTTTTTAGTTAATAAAATTTATTTTTTCAAATGTATTCAAAATGTATCTGCAGTATGTATTCATATATTTTTGCACTATAGATAACCTACTATACTTCATGTATTCAATGTGTTTTTATGTATCATTCAATGTAATTATATAATTTCAATATATAAATCTATTTGTAAAGATGCCATTAAAAAATATTTTAGTAAAGATACCACTAAGAAAAGAAAGGATGGATTGGATCTCTGAAGATTACTCTATTTTTTGGGTATTTTTCGGTTGAGAATCTTTTCTATAACTGAAAATACAATTTTTGTGTGTCATAATTGAGTTTGTTGAGTTATATTAGGAGTTTATCGCGTTAATTGATTCACTTATCATTTTTAAACAGCTGAAGACCTTTTTTGCCAAATTCCATTATTGTATTAACGAATATAGCTCGCGAACACTGTTGAATACCTTCTCTGCTTAGTTGGACTCCCCTGTTTTTCGCTGAATTTTTCTACTATATTCATGAATACAATAGCAAAAATACATCGAATACAGTCTATAACAACTAAAAATATAGCTATAGAAAGCAATTTAGTAAATGGTAGCTATAGCAAGCTAATAATCACTACAACATAGTGGTTTCTGAAAATTTCTCTTGATTTTATATCCACTTTGGTTTGTTCTTTGCACAACTAATATGAAGATGCTTTGCCGTTCTCAATTAAAACGCGCCTTTCGTGAGTGTTTCTCGATTTCTCTCTCTCTCTCTCTCTCTCTCTCTCTCTCTCTCTCTCTCTCTCTCTCTCTCTCTCTCTCTCTTCTGTGTTCGTTTTGTTGGTTATGTTTTCAGATTCCTCTTATGGAGGAGCAACAGTCTTCTTTTGCGACAAGATTTAGTATCTATTACATGTATGATTTTTGTATACGGTTAAAATCGAGCTCATCCATTTTATGATTAACCGAGACTGGGGGTGACAGGCCAAGATTCGACCCCATGTCATACACGACCGTGATAAGAAGTTAGATTGCCATGCTCGGGACCCTAAGACCGATTAAGATCGAGACCGACCAAGATCAGGACAGAATAAGATGGAGGTCGAGGGAAGCTTACTGGGTCGAATAACGAAAAGACAAAATTTCCGCAATCGGGCGAGGAGCACGACTTAAATCCCGGCAAGTATCAAGAATAGGCCGATTAATTAGCTAATCATGGAATTTCTTACTGTATTTAGGATTGTACCAAGAATAGGATTCCCCTACTATATAAGTGGGCCTAACCATTTGTAAAGATGATCATAATAACGTTGCATAAAGCAGTATAATCTTTTTCTCTTAAGCTATCAATATTCATGTCACTTTGTTCATACTTTCTGGCAAAATATTCACTTGATTCGAGGGTAACCTAGCTCAAGGGTCAAAGCTATACATTTCATTTGGTTTACTTTATTTATATTTGCAATTAATTTCAGTATCCATTTATGTTTTCTCACAATTTCTGCCAAGTGAATCACGTGTCCTTAAAACCACAGTATAAATTAATTGTTATCCGTTTTTAGGGTAAGCAGTTTGGCGCCCACCATGGGGCTAAGGATAATAGTGATAGCCTGGTACAAATTTTTGATACACATACTATTTTACGCTTGTTCTTTGAAGTGTATGATTACAGGATTAAAAAATATCAAACTCTCAGTCAGCACCTCAACACATTGACAATGATCTCAGCTAGGGGTGTTCATAAAAACCCCAAAAACCGAACCAAACCGAAAACTGAACAAAACCGACCAAAAAATCCGATACTTTTTAGTTTTGGTTTGGTTTTGGTTTCGAAATTTAAAAACTGATCAAATGTTGTTTGGTTTTGGTTTTAGTAAAAAAATAACCGAAAAAAACCGAACCAGACCGAGTATAAAAGTAGCTATTTAAAATTATTATTATTACACCTGCATATATGTATTTTTATATAAAGTTTCTAAAATTTTATCGTACATATTAGTCATTTGTATTGTTAGTCTAGTTCTTTGCTATTATAATAATTTAATTCTTTGTCTTTACATTCTAGTTTGATTGGTAGTTTTCTTTTGCAAGTACAAGAATTTATTTCGTGATAAAAACAATCGATCTTTAGTTGAGTACTTAAATTATTCATCACTATTTAATTCAATTATCATCAATATATCTTGGTAAATGATAGATTTCTCAAAATGGCAATTGATTTGATAGTGTTACGCTGAAAATGTAGTCGCTTCAATATGTGTTTGGTAGTGTATGTCTAATATTTAAAAAATAGATAAATAACCGAAAAACTAACAAAAACCGAATCGATAAAAAACCGACTTAATTGGTTTGTTTGGTTCCAATATTTAAAAAACAGACTTACTTGGTTGTCTTTGTTTAAGGGAAAAACCGACCCAAACCGAACTATCAACACCCCTAATCTCAGCCACCACGGCGAGAATGAGAACATTGCACCAGGAAACGTTGTACCCCCTGCTGGCCTCGATGGAATTCCGGATGTCGATCCAATCGACATCAGTTCGCATATGGCCATCAATGGAAATTTTGTCGCCGATCCAGAATGATTTGTCGTGGGGGTACCCTATCAGCTACTCAGAATGCACATGGCGGTGAAGATGGCGGGATCATCCTGCAGATAATCTTCGAAATGTTGCAAGACAACAGGCAGCAATAGCTCAGCTCCAAAATCAGAATCATACATCGAGCAGGGTCGAACCCGAGAAATTCTAGGAAATCATACACTGGGTCGAATCGACTTAGAAGACGCCGAACGAGAATGAATCGGAGACCAACCCACCTATCATTAAGATGCTCGAAGAACTGGCAAAGCAAATCGAGACAGGGGAAAGAAGGTCGAGGAAAACGACAAGAAGGTAGAAACCTATAATTCCAGGGTCGACCAGATCCAAAGGACTCCACCAATATTGAAAGGTCCAGATTCCAAAAAGTTTATACAAAAACCTTTCCCCCTGAGTGCAGCTCCGAAGCCGACCCCCATGAAGTTCTGTATGCCTGAGATTCCTAAATATAATGGGACGACTAATCAAAACGAACACGTCACCTCCTACACGTGTGCTATCAAAGGAAATGACTTGGAAGATGACGAGATCGAATCCGTCTTGTTGAAAAAATTCGGGGAGACTTTATCGAAGGGTGTTATGATATGGTATCATAATCTACCGCCTAATTCTATTGACTCATTTGCTATGCTTGCAGATTCCTTTGTAAAGGAACACATCGGGGCCATTAAGGTCGCAACAAAAAAGTCGGACCTTTCAAGTAAGGCAGAAGGACAACGAGATGCTTAGGTATCTCGATTCCAAATGGAATGAATGGATTTTCCACCGTTCACCAACAATTGGGCTGTTCAAGCTTTCACTCAAGGCCTTAATGTTAGAAGTTCAGTAGCTTCATAGCAATTGAAGCAGAATCTGATCGAATACCTAGCTGTCACTTGGGCCGATGTACATAATCGGTATCAATGGAAGATCAGGGTCGAGGATGATGGACTTGGGGCTCATTTTTGGTCCGTTTTTCATAACAAGCTCATGGATAGAATCAAGAGAAATGTTTAACGAGAACCAAGGTCAATAAGAGATC